TATATATATATATATATATATATATATATACATGCCGTTTGGAATGTGATACGATCGAAACCACAGATAATATTTTAATAATAATAATACTATGTTTTCAAATAGATTTGGCTATCTCTTGGGCCATTTAGACGAAGAACTGAACCAGCAAATGGCGCCGTCCGTGGTTCGCGTCAAGGTGACGGCGGACGGATGCTACTGCTTTGTGGGATGTCGAGGGAACACGCCCAAGACCATCATGGCGATTCATTTGGATAAATTCAGGCATGAAAAAGGTATATATATCTGCAAATAATTAAAAAATATGGCGAACACTATGAAAGGATTATATATATGTATATATATAGGGGTGGTGGGATTAGTCTCATTGTGCGTGTATGTGTAGACAACGACGACGACGACAATTTGCAAAAGTACTTTATGAACGATTCGAAAATGCGGGTGCGTCTGCTCCAAATACATACATGTATATAATGGTACTTATGTATAATATATATATATTATCAATATATTAGGGCTTTGCAGACGTGTCGCCGAATGCATCTGCCCCGGGGAACCCCCTTCGAAGCTATTACCTTGTCGCAGGGCTGGGCGTGGGTCATTATCGCGTGTGGAGATTCGACGAACGACCGCTGGGGGCCGACCCTTCCTGGACGTACTTGCATCAATTCGGCGCATCCAGGTAATATATATATTGGCCGTGGAAACCCAAAGTTGGACTTTAGAGCTGCTGATTGGCTAAATCCATCGATCGATTCGTTATACTGCATTTTGTATGTAAGACGTGGTGCTGTGGTATATATACGAATTTGAGGTTGATTTCCTGCAACCTGATTGGCTCAATTCTTCTGTAAACATTTATATTGGTTGTGTGTGAATTCATATTTCATATCGCTCCCAGTAGAATCAAACCACAATAACTGCATGACAGTCCAAAACTCTATTGTCCTTTTATTACCCAAACTTGTGGACTTTGGTGCGAATCGCCAAACCTATCGATTGATATTCTTTGAAGTTTGTATGTAAAAAGAAAGGTAGTCCGGTGGTGATTTGAATCACACTAATTGAAGTCGCACACTAATTACATGTTTGTGGTGGTTTCCTGCAATCTGATTGGCTCCATACTACTGCTGCCGAGGATTCTCGTGTACATGTTTGTGTCGATTCTTCATTCTCCTCTATCGCTCCAGTAAGTTTCGAATAAAACACCACAATATATATATATATATATATATACATAGTTTCGCGTATTGGCATCAATAAGTACCGTGTCCACCACCAGTCAAAGGCTTGTATTATATATATATATATATATATATATTCCTTTCGTAGCAACACAGCACTCCATGCATATATCTTCTCCGTGTCGGCCACAACCATCGGGTTTGCGGGCGTGGGCAGCGACGGCAATTTAAAACTCATCACGTTCCCCACCAACCAACACTCGCAACATACCGCCGAATCCGTCCAAAAAGTGATCCCCAACACCTCGGACATTTCGTACATCAAGGGCGACTTCGCGTACGGCTACGCCACCGCCGGTCGGTTTTACCGCCTCGCCCTCTCCAGTACGTTTCTTGTCATGGTCATGATCATGACCGTGGATGGATATGGCAGATCCGACGCAGCACCGCGACTCGTTTGATCTCGTGGTGGACGCGGCGCGCAAAAATTCGCGCTCCATCGGGTTTGTCGAACACATTTGTGCCACGGATGTACGTACTACTACTTGCCACGCAATGTTGAGCGTTCAAAGAAGTCGTCACAACGCTTTCTATATATATATATATATATATATATATATATTGATATATATATGCTGCCTCGTTGAATACAACCGATTGATACAGCCTAATGATGATGTTCATTGCACGATAGATGATGTATCGTGAGTTTTGGAATGTGGTGAATGAACAGTCGTGGAGGACCCACGTCACTATATATATATATATAATACTTATATATATGTATAATACTTATATGTATAATACTTATATATATATAATACTTAAATATATATATATATATGCATTTGTATTGTTTGACTTTGACGGCACTGTTTTGATGGCCAATTGTCACTGTATGTTAGCTTGGATGGCACTAAATTTTGGATGGTCATGGTCACTATACATACTTTTAGCGACGACATTGCAGTATGGCATGATAGTGATGGGGTGATGTTCCTGTCATTTACACCGTATATGTATCTATCATATCAATGCACTGTAGCAACCATTGCACTCCTTTGATGTCCACGGTCACTATATATATAGTGCCTTGCGATGGAGCAGTACATGGCCACTATTTTTCATGGCACTATTTGGATGATCATGGTCACTATTTGGATGATCATGGTCACTATATGAATCAATTGTGACCTCAATGGCACTTTCATGGTCACTATTATTGAATCCTTGGATTTCTCCATTTATGGCAGTTGGTGGTCCCTCCCTATATATATATATATATATATATATATATATATGCTGTGACACCGTTGAACATTGACAGTACCACACACCCAAGTGCTGGTTCAATGACTCTGACGTAGGATGGCGTGCACGTGGTAGCCATCACAGACCAAGTCGTGTACTATTGCATGACCGACGGCGCGGCGTCCACGGGCAACTACGTCATGCACATGATGGGGGCGTCGATTCCGTCGCAGCTGGTGCCGCGGTACGGCGTCCCGTGCGCCATCTACGTGCCCAACCACGTGGCAGTCCAGGAGCCCGTGCTGCTGCTCACGACCAACGCCGAAGAAGAGAGCGACGGGTTCTTCACAGTCGACCCCGTTCGGAAGCTGCAGCGGCAGATGGCCCGCGGAAAGCCCGCGACCGGATTGAACTGCTGGGTGTGCGGCAGCCACTCGTCGCTGCATTGGGGCCTCAAGTCGGGTAAACCAAACCAGAGTGTGGGAACAACGACCATCACTCCAAGCAAAGCCAAAGCGAAACCACCAGCTAAAGACAAGCCACAACCAGTGGCACATGTTCACACTAATTTAAGTCAACGCCACGCGGCATCCCAGCGACCTGCGCCACAAGGAATGACTGGTCCACCTCGAAGTGGTACGAATACTAGTATGTACACATTGTCCTTTTCCCTCACAACTATGGAGTACTGTATGTGTGTGATTCGCCAAATCCATCGATATCGAACGTTTGGTACTGGAAATAGTGTAGTGCGAAGTACAAAAAGAGATCAAACGCAATCACACTATTTAAATACTTACACTAATACTCGATGGTAATATGTGTTGAACGGATAATTTCCTGCCATCTGATTGGCTAAATATCCTTGTGCCGATTTTCTGTCCTTGTATTTGGTTGTGTATGTCGCTCCTGTAGTATACTTCGCATTTGAATGGAAATATATAAAAGATGGACGCTTGTGTATTGTGCTTTCGAGTGAAATTTCATTGTGTTGTGGTTTCTCGTTGGAATTTAAATCGATTTGATTGGCAGATGAGCTCAAAATTATTAGCCAATCAAAACCTTCTCAATGAAATTCAACCAATCAGATCGATTGTGGATCGGTTTGGTTGGCGCGATTCGATTGCACCCCCTCCCCAAATTTGTATCAAATCGACAATATTATAATTATATAAAATACCTCTTCTCTATCTAGTCGAAATCCAAGACCTGCAAGAGAACGTGTTGACGTTGGAGGCGGAATTGGCTAAAGCCCAAACTCGAGTGACGCAAGTGAAAAACGAAGCGGACCGGCGGCTGCGGGCAGAGTTGCAGCTGCGACGGTCTTGGAAAAAGCAGCAATTGGAGTTTGAAGCCCAACTGGCCACTGGTATTTATATATATATATATATATAGTAGATATCTATCCGTTGCCGTATAGTTCGCAGATATGTTTTTGATTTGGTACGAGTTTCGCGCGTCGATCCTGAAGCTCTCTCTCCCATTGGTTCAATCTGAAAATACTTGTTGCTGATTGGCTACATTGTTTTTTCTTTTATTCCGTGCTTTCTGCGGAAAAGTGATATTTCAGGCGAGCTTTCGCATCATTGGGAGAAATTTGTGGCATATTAATGATATTTATATATATATATTCTTTGAAGTATACATATATGTTTCTAAACGATACATTTTTTAAAATATATACTTGAGGTATTTATATATATATCAATATCGTAGCAAACGCCAACGTGGACAACTTGACGATTCAAAACGTTGCGATAATGGCGCAATTCAAAGAAATGGAGACGAAACTCGCCCACGACGCCGTGCGGCACGAACAGGAAGCAGGGGTATACATATATATATATATATATATATATATATATATATATATATCGAAGGCTATGTCCTAACATATAAATATATCGATCGTAGGTACGGGTACAATACGATCAACTGTGTGGCCAAGTACGCGACAAGCTGAGCCGCGTAGACGACCACCAAAAGATTTTGGAGCAAACGACCAAGTCGTTGCTCCAGCAACTCCAACGCAACTCGCAGTTGCTCAAGCACGACGGCGCCGAGACCAACGTGGAAACGGCCAAGTCCGAGTGCGTCATCTGCCGCGATCGACCCGCCAACACGGCCGTGTACCCGTGTGGACACTTGTGTTTTTGCCAAGAAGATGGCGAAAAGTATCAGAACCACCTGCGCCACCAAAAGCAGTGCCCCGTGTGTCAAGTGGAAATGATCTCGCTCTTGCGCATCTACGCTCCTTAGTAGTAGTAGCTCCACTGTACTAGTATATGTAGCCTCGGTAGTAAAGAAATACGCATGTATGAACCAATGTGTTTTGTCATATATATAATGTACATAGTAGTGCTGCTTAAGTGAATGGATGTACAAGGTAGAGTCGCAGGAACGCACACGTTATGACTGCGTGATGGTTGGCAAGCGCAGGAAGCAAGTGTGGCGGATGAGGCGGCAGTTGGTTGTCATTGGCGTCCTACAACCAGCGATGCGGAGAAATATATCGATATTTGTCGATATTATCTGCAGCAAGACTTATTGCCCCATTCTATTCGATATCGATAAAATATCGAGATACACGTGCGATATCGATAGAATATCCAAGTCATCCATTCGATATCGATATATTATCGTGTTTCACATTCGATTTCGATATATATTGCGTATGTTTGTACGTAGTACTAACGTTAGTATATGAATGTACAACCACGATATACTATATCCGATATATATATATATATATATATATACTAGTATATCGAATACTAGTATCGTACTGACGTTGCGATATCGATATGATAATTGCACCATTGCGTTCGATACGATATTACTATTTTATCGAGATAGCTTTCGATAAGCGATACTATATATTATATCTAAATCTAGATACCTAGATACGATACGATGTCAAAATCGATAAATCGATGTCGCTACAACTAAGCATGTACATATGTAGCATTGCATGGTGATGTGCTGCATAACGACATGCCTACAAGGGGCATGCAATACTGTATCACATGTCAGTCACATGATGGATGCGCAGGCAACGTGAAGGTGCTGACTTACACGCCCGATGAGTCATATACATACTGCATGTCCTTCAACTCATGCCTCACATTTGCCGCCCGCCTCAGCATGAACATGAGGGATGCCGCCTGCGTTTTCCGGAGATCGTGGTGCAAACTATTCAAAACACAAGTCATTTTACATACATATTAGTTAATATTTAGTGCAATACTAGATCCATTTTGCATTGAAAATGGTAAATTATACTGCTACCATTCGTACATATCGGATCCGGGGAAGTCCACATGAATATTCCGGGTTTGAGATAGGACGTATTTGATTGGCTAAAATTCAACAAATGGAATATTTTGAGCATTTGACAACGCGTCATTTCCGAATTTCACTTGCGGCGCTCAGTATCGTTCGAACAGCATGGGAGACTACGGCCAGTACATCGTTCCGACGGCGGACGTCATGATCAACTTCAAGGTGGGCCAGCCGGCGCCGACCATGCTGCCCCTGCAGCTTATCCGTGAGTCCGCGGCAGACAAGTTTCTGGAAACGGACCCCATGTTCCTCCAATACGGACACATCAAGGGGTACCCGAAATTCCGCCAAGCGTTGGCAAAGTTCCTCACCGAAGGGTACCACGCGCCTGTGGACCCTGAGCGCCTCTTTGTCACGAACGGCATCACGGGCGGTCTCGCGTTGCTCATTTCGTTGTACCTCAAGTCGGGCGACTTGGTGTTCATGGAAGAACCGACGTACTTTTTGGCGCTGAGCATCATGAAGGATTTCAAGATGAACGTCAAGCAAATCGAGATGGAAGAAGACGGGTTGAACGTCGTTAAGTTGGAAGAAGTCCTCCGCAGTGGAGTGGTCCCCAAGGTCTTCTACACGATCCCAACCTGCCACAACCCCACGGGCCGCACCATGAGCACGGCCAAGCGCCAAAAACTCGTGGAGCTCAGTCACGAATACGGATTCACGATCATTGCCGACGAAGTGTACCAGCTCTTGTCGTTTCCCCACGTCACCCCTCCCCCTCCGTTCTTCACGTTTGACAAGTACGACACCGTGTTGGCGTTGGGCTCGTTTTCCAAGATCCTGGCCCCCGCGCTTCGCCTCGGATGGGTGCAGGCCTCCCCCAAGCTCCTTCAACCGTTGATCGCGTCAGGGCAATTGGACAGCAGCGGTGGCATCAACCCTGTGATCCAAGGCATTGTGCACACGGCGTTGACATCGGGTCGCCAAGCGCAGCACTTGAAGTGGACGACCGAAACGTTGTGGTCCCGCGCGGACACGCTCATGAAGGCGTTGGAAGCAAAGTTGCCGGTTGGCACGACGTTTGAACGCCCCGACGGCGGGTATTTCGTCCTCGTGCGCCTTCCCGACGGGTTGCACGCGTCGGAGCTGCTTCCCATTGCCGAGAAGCACAAGGTTCAGTTCCTTCCTGGGGCGTCGTTCGCCAAGACCATGTCCAACTACCTCCGCCTCAGCTTTTCGTGGTACACGGCCGACGAAATGGTGGTCGGCGCCGAACGACTGGCCGCTGCGATCACAGAATACCAAGCCATCAAGGCAAACCAGTCGAGCCCGGCTGACGCCGCTGCTACCGCGTCGACTGCGTCCGTCACGTCGGTGGCCCTCCATGGAGCCAACGGCCGTTTGGGCCAGTTGATCGCGTTGGAACTGCAAAAAGACGCGGCGTCGTTCGTGTCCACGGGTGTGTTGGACGTGCGTTCCAAGGCCTCGTCTTCGATCCCGCCGTCGACGCAAGTGGTCATCGACGTGACCCTGCCGTCTGGAACGGCGGCGTTGGTGCAGACGTTGCTCCAGGGCCCGACGTACCCCGCGCTCGTAGTCGGCACCACTGGCGCGTTGCCCCTCGACCTGCTGCGCCAATATGCCGACAAGGCGCCCGTTGTGATCAAATCCAACTTTTCGGTCGGCGTGCCCCTCGTCGCGGAACTGGCGGCCGCCGCGGCCCTAGCGCTGCCCAAGGGCGGCGACTGGAACGTCCAACTGAGCGAGATCCACCACACCAAAAAGCTGGACGCCCCGTCCGGCACGGGCAAGACCCTCGCCGGCGCCATCAAGCGCACAGGCGTCTTCGACAAGGTCGACGTCGAAAGCCTCCGCCTCGGCGATGAAATCGGCACCCACACCGTCTACTTTGCCGGCCCGGGCGAGCGCATTGAGATCAAGCACGTCGCAACCCGCCGCGAAGTGTTTGCGCTTGGCGCGCTGCGCACAGCCGCATGGGCAGTAACTCAACCCAAGGGATTGTACTATTAACATCCATGGATTGTATTAATAATATCCATGGACCCGTGAACATTAATAGTATGATATATGTTTGATAGTTGTTGGTTTGACCCATAACGTTACGAATAATAAATACCTCCAAGTACGTATTAATAGTACCACTAGTAGTAGTATTAATAGTAAGAGTAACACGCTAGAGATTTCACTAGCATTTGACGCCTGATGTCGTTCGAGTGGCGTCATTGCATGCTGATTGGTGGATAAAAAATGATCCGACTCTTGGATGTCACAAGCACACGACTGTATTTGGATGTTGTAAATCAACGACAGACCAGCCTTATCGACAGGTAGTAATACTAGTAGTAGTAGGTCGTTAGCTGTTATTTCGACACTTGTTCCGAGCGAGCCCTTCACTTTTCATGGTTAACTTTAGTACCGTTAAGAGTTCGTTTAGGTGCAAGGTAGTAAGTTACTTCGAAGTCCAGTCTTGCAAACCACAAAGGGGTCTCTATCTCCACTGTGTTGATAGGGAACTAAAACTGTGAAAATGGGGCCATACGTAGTACATAAAGTATTCCAATTACGCGTAGTAGCCACAGCTCATGCGGTAGATGACATAGTACTCCTTTAAGTCAAAGCCTCGAGATCTGTGTGTTAAGTCGGTATGGCAGCGGTATCGGGGACAGCCGACACGACCGATTCGGTTGGTGGGTCGAGGTCCGCGATGGGTCGTCCGGGATGGTTGCCGCCGAGGAGGCTGGGGAGGGCATCGAGGGCCATGCCTTGCTTTTGCGCCTCGACGACAAATGCGGGCGCGGACTTGTAAATTTGAATCTTTTGGCGGGTTTCGGGGTCGATGAACGATGAAATGACCTTCCACGTGCCCCAAAACACAAACGGTGCGTTCACAAGGTACATGCGGAAGAGCGATTCGGGGTAGTACACTTGACCGAGGTCGAAAATCGGCTTCAAGTACGACATGACGCTGGGCGCTACATGTTTCCACGCCATCCCCGCCAGGTCGAAAATGTAAATGTGCTTGTACACGAGTTTGCCCTTGCGTTTGGACGACGCCGCCAACCTACAAACAAGTAACGTTTCGGTTCGCCTTTGAAAGTATAATTACAATTGGACACGTTGATGTTTAACTTACTCTGCTTGGATATGCTCCAAGTGTTTCATACGGTGACGGAGGATCTCGTCCACGGTGAAATGGGCGTGGAAGCTGTCCACATTGATCTCGACGAGACGCTCCATGTTGATTACATGGCCCGCTGCGTCCTCGCCGTACACTGCCGACGGCCAGCACTGGTGAAACAAACTCGCTTTTTCCAACGGCACCGTCAAAATCCCATCGGCGCCGTTTTGCGTACGCCAATCCTACGTTTTTTGTGTTTATGCCAAGGCATATTATGGGATCGATCGATCCTGCACCGAGTATGTCTGTGGGCCATAAGGAAGTAAGTGTGCGTTCGTTACCTTGATTCGTTTGACTTCGGCCAAGGTCTTTTCCATGCGGTGCTTCTTATCGCCGCGAAACGCGCGCGCAAGGCGGATGCAAAACTCGCTGCTCACGTCATCGCCATGCGCTGCCTTGATGGCGTCGTAGAAGGGCTGGTCGGCTGCGTCCAAAGGTGCTGACTCGTCCATCGATCAGCCTGCTAACGATCAAAATGAGGAATTCAAACCCGATAACCGTAAGCAAGCGAATACGCTAGAAATAGCCATTGGTTACATTTATTTATACTAGTAGTAGTTACGCGGCTTGGCGCAACGGCAAGGCTGGCTATGTTTGGATATTATCACATTTTTCAAATGCCAGTTGAGAAAGGCCATTTGGACATTTGAACCAATCATCGGCGGGCTTATCGGTGATTGGGTGAATCCACGTTAGACGCTTTTTTTTGTTTGGGATATCCGGATACAGTGTTCCGGATACTGGTTGGTGTCAAAAACTGCAAATCGTCACATCGCACATCCGCCACCATGACCGACGGCCCTTCTTTTGACCAACTGCGCGCTTCGTTGCTCGACCTGTCCGAGCCCATGGGCAAGCGCACCCGCGCTGTCTTCTACCTACGTACCCGTGGTGGTAAAGACGACCTGCAAGTTCTCTTGGAAGGTATGCTGTCTGTGTCCCAATGATGGATTGTCCTTGATGTCGTCCGTCCGTAGCTCTGCCCAACAAGAAGGACTCGGAACTCATGCGCCACGAACTGGCGTACGTGATCGGTCAGTTCCAAGACGTCGTCGCATGCCCGGTATTGGAAGCTGTGCTTGCCGACGTCGACGACGACTGCATGGTCCGCCACGAAGCAGCCGAGGCGCTGGGTGCGATCGGAGACGCATCATCCATTGACATCCTGGAGCGATTTTCCCACGACGCTGCGCTCGAAGTGGCGGAGACGTGCGCGTTGGCCCTTCGTTTAGTCAAGTACAAACATGCTGGACACGTAATATCCCCGTCTTCCTATTCATTCCATCCTTCCTTCCTCACTCACATGTGAACATACGCAGGATGCTTCCGAAGCCGCCGACGAAATGGATCGCAATCCATATTACTCGGTGGATCCTGCGCCCGCCATGCCAAAGTCCAAGTCCACCGACGAACTCCAAGCCATCTTGTTGGACACGTCGCGATCCATGTTTGACCGGTACCGCGCCATGTTTTCCCTTCGCAACCGCAACACGGAAGACGCTGCTCTGGTACGATGCCACGTCATATACTTGGCAATTGTATACTCATAGCCAACTCAGGCATTGGCGAGTGCGTTCCACGACACGAGCGCGTTGTTTCGACATGAAATCGCCTACGTCATGGGCCAAATGGCCAACCCCGTGACCGTGCCGGCGCTCAAAGAGGTAACTCTCTTGTTTGGATTGTATATATATATCTTGGAATAAAGTGATTTTTCTTTATATTTACTAATTCGGTTTTAGGTGCTGATCAACGAAGCGGAACACCGCATGGTGCGCCACGAAGCGGCCGAAGCGCTGGGGGCCATCGGCACGGCAGAATGCGAAGACATTCTCAAGGTAAGATTCATATAATTCCTGGTGTTATATAGTCCATCGGACTTTGTACTGAAATTTGTATGTGAGAAATGGTCTAGCGGAAATGCCCGTCACACTAATTGAAGTCACACACTAATTAGCTGTTGATTGGTTGTTGACCTGATGATTTCCTGCAATCTGATTGGCTAACTGTACATTCTTCTGCCATTTCTTCTGTACTTTTGGTTGTGTCGATATATTCGGCACGTGGCTCCAATTTTGATATAAACATAAGATAAATATCTTTGGGAAGGATACAAGCAAGTACGATGCATGGAGCATGATGATAAGTCGAATGCTGTATTGAATGGACATGTGGGTGTGTAGGTGTACTTGAAGGATGCTCATCAGGTGGTGCGCGAGAGCTGCGAAGTGGCGCTGGATATTATCGACTACTGGGCCCAACCGCAAGCCCAGAACGCGTAAACAATGAAGTTACACCGATAGAGGGGCACATCCTTGGATATATATATCTATACTACTGGCTTGTAAAAGTCGGCCATAGCTACTACATAAATACACTGTGCGGACAGACTCCATGATCACTTAGTATGATGGAGTGATGCGGTCGAGCTTTTTCAAGTCCAAGTCCAAAGCGCGCAATTCACGGCGGGCCAGCCAGCAGGCCGCGGCAAAGAGCCGAGGACCCATGACGATGGCCGAGACGGTCGTTGGATTGACGGTGTCGGTAGTTGTGGCGAGGAGGACCAACTTCTGCTGCTGCTGCTGCCACAATGAGTACAGCACTCCGCTGACGAGCCAGCTGATTACGACGAGGCACCGGGTGGTCCATTGCACCATTGGATGCCGACTCCAGAGGACGAGGCTGGCTTCGCCAATGTACCCCACAATCGCAAGCTTGTACATGTACAAGAGGTACTGCATGTGGATGGCATCTCCCGTAGAAGCGGAAGACAATGGAAGGAAATACAGTTGCCACGCCATGGCGCCAGTTAGAAGGAAGCCAAGGACGGCAAGCACACCCCGCCATACACGTGATTGGGTGATGTTTTGCTCGCGTAGGACATTAAGAAGTTGGACATCCACGGCGGTAGCGGTGGTGGCGGGCGAGGAAGATGGTGGCGGCATGGTTGCTACATTCGAATTTGCTTTTGTAACGGTTTGTTTGTCCAAGGGTTTTGCGCAATGCAGGATGCGTTTAAACTGAGATCAACGAAGTATAAACCGCTTTAAGCATTAAAACATACTCGATCGTATTGCGTTTTATGTATTTGGGACGGCCACGGATTGGTCAAAATCCTGGCAACGGTTGTCTCGTCGACTTTGGACGTTTCTCGAACGGCGGCCGCAAACCTGAACATTCGATGCGAACGTTTGAAACATGTTTGAAACACCCGATTTCAGTTCATGTACCTTGAAAACGATGTTTAAAACATGTTCGATCTGTTTGAAACTCACGTTGAGGAGTGGCCCATGTCCTTCACTTTGAATTTAGCTCCCTCAGCATCAACATGTCCTCCGCCTTGCGCAAATTGATTCCCTTGGGCAACCGCGTGCTCATCAAGAAGGTTGAGCCCGTGCTAAAGACGGCCGGTGGCATCTACCTTCCTGACTCGGGCAAGAACTCGCAAACCGAAGGCGAAGTCGTCGCCGTCGGCCCTGGCGCGCGCAACCACGAAGGTTCCCTCATCCCGTTGGGTGTGTCGGTGGGCGACAAGGTGTTGCTGCCGGAATACGGCGGATCCGTCCTCAAGTTGGGTGAAGATGAGTTCCACCTGTACCGCGATGAAGAAATCCTCGGCAAGTTCCATTAAGCACCGTCGCCGCTGCCTGTAGTCTAGAGATCGTCTGTTGTGCAACACTGCGCTGTTCAATGGAAACCCAATTTTTGACATAACCCTCGAGTTTGGCTACCTGTTGACCCCCCGCAACATGCGACTTACCGCACTTCGGCCCTTCTTTCTCTTGGATATGGTGATGGCCATGATCGTAGATCGCTCGGAATGGTGCTGACCCCTCGACCGACCCCCCATGACATAGCAATCCATCCTGACCTAGTACATGCACAGAATTCGCCACGTTCCTCCGCTCTACTACTGGATCTACCCTCGTTCATCCCCATGTACTAGCTACCAAAATCCAAGTTCTACCGACACGACGATATCCATATTCTCCATCCCACTTGTATCCATGTCATAAGCATGCGCTTTATGCATCTTTCTACGCCTCGACATGGAACGCCTTGCACAGCGCCGGGTGCCTTCCGCAGTCCGTGTCGTGCTTAACAATCGCATGAAACAGCCCTGGCTCCGACACGGAGTGGAACCCGCGGCCGATTTGGGGGCGATAGTACGACCAGTCGGCCGCCGACAGCGTAAATCGAACGGTCGTGGCTTCTTGGGGTTGCAGTGACACTTTGGTAAAGTGTTTGAGCAACTTGACTTCGGGCACCGCGCCATGACGCACCTATCGCCATCGTCGTCACCACTAGTACTACTAGTACTATAGTACTCCTACTCCTAGTACCTTTTGCGAGATGAACACAAACACGACTTCTTTGCCGGCACGGAGCCCCGTGTTGGTGACAGTCACATCCAACGTCAGCGTTCCATTGGACCAGACTTTGGTGTCAGACAGTGTCACATTTGAGTACTCGAACGACGTGTAGCTC